GAACCTAGAGTATTATTATTATAATTAAATTGAGTTTTGTATAAAATTCAAATATGCTCAATTTAATAACAAACGGTTGCTTAGGTTATCAATAATATCTTGGCTTCTCCATATTCAAATCTATATAATCCCGAGAACATTTATTTGTCAAAAGCTGGCGGTGGTGCCGGTAATATTTGGGCTTATGGGTTTTCGCAAGCAGAAAAAGTATGCGAAGACATATTTGAAATGATTGACCGCGAAGCGGATGGAAGTGATTCTCTAGAAGTATTGCTGTATTATTATTATTGTTATCATGTGCTTCATTTGGTATTCTAATTTTGAGTTATTATGATAGGGATTCATGCTGCTTCATTCAATTGCCGGAGGAACAGGTTCTGGTATGGGATCATTCCTTCTGGAACGGCTCAATGAACGGTATCCAAAAAAGTTAATTCAAACATACTCCGTATTTCCTAATAATGAGGAGTTTTCTGATGTGGTTGTTCAGCCATATAACAGTATGTTAACTTTAAGAAGACTGACTAGTAATGCAGATTGTGTGGTGATTATATCATTTATAACATCGTCCTATACATTAAAAGAAAAACTATTAATTTATTAAACTTTGTTATAACTTTAGATCGTGTTAGATAATGCTGCTCTGAATCGAATTGCATGTGATCGGCTTCATGTTCAAAAACCTACATTTACACAAACAAATCAACTGGTATAGTTTGTTATGGTTAATTGAATAATCACTATTTAAATTGTTTTTATTTTGAATTATTATTGTATTGCTTATTTTAGGTGTCAACTGTAATGTCTGCAAGCACAACAACTCTTCGTTATCCTGGTTATATGAATAATGACCTTGTTGGAATGATTGCATCACTAATTCCCACACCTAAATGTCACTATTTAATGACAGCATATACACCTTTTACGAGCGATAAAGTTGAAAAGGTTTGATTTTGTTCAGATATATCGTTATTCTTTTCCCAACTTTATTGGTTCCTAAATTCCTATTGTAGGCCAAGTCTATACGTAAGACAACGGTGCTTGACGTCATGAGAAGGTTATTACAACCAAAAAACAAGATGGTTTCAATTAATCC